CAAGTTGATACAGCCACTTTGGAAAACAGTGTGGAGGTTCCTCAAAAAATTAAAAGTAGACCTACCCTATGACCCAGCAATTGTACTACTGGGCATTTACCCCAAACACAGATGTAGTGAAAAGAAGAGCCATAGGCACCCCAATGTTCATAGCAACAACGTCTACAATAGCCAAACTCTGGAAGGAGCCGAGATGCCCTTCAACAGATGAATGGATAAAGAAGATGTGGTCCATATATACAATGGAATATTACTCAGCCATCAGAAAGGATGAATACCCAACTTTTACATCAACATGGATGGGACTGGAGGAGCTATGTTAAGTGAAATAAGTCAAGCAGAGAAAGTCAATTATCATATGGTTTCACTTATTTGTGGAACATAAGGAATAGCATGGAGGACATTAGGAGAAGGAAGGGAAAAATGAAGGGGGGTAAATCAGAGGAGGAGACATACCATGAGAGACTATGGACCCCGAGAAACAAATTGAGGGTTTTAGAGAGGAGGGGTGTGGGGGGTTGGGTTAGCCCAGTGATGGGTATTAAGGAAGGCACGTATTGCATGGGGCACTGGGTGTTATACACAAACAAGGAAGCATGGAACACTACCTCAAAAACTAATGATGTACTGTATGGTGACTAACATAATAAAAAAATAAAAATAAATTTAAAACTTTAAAAAAAGAGATAACTACGGATACAAAAATTCACAATAAAATACTAGCAAATACTGAACCCAATAACTTATTAATAAAATCATTCACCACAATCAAGTGGGATTTATTCCTGGGTTGCCAGGGTGGTTCAAAATTTGCAAACTGAGCAATGTGATACACCACATTAATAAAAGAAAGGATAAGAACCATATGATTACTTCAATAGGTGCAGAAAAAGCATTTGGCAAAGTACATCCATTCATGATAGAAAAAAAAAAACCCTCAACAAAGTAGGTTTAGACAGAACATACCTCAGCATAATAAAAGCCATATACAAAAAAACCAACTAATCTCCTCAATGCGGAAAAACTGAGAGCTTTTCCTCTACGGTCAGGAAAAAAGACAAGGATGTCCACTCACACCACTGTTATTTAACATAATGCTGGAAGTACTAGCCATAGCAATCAGACAACAAAAAGAAATAAAAGACATCCAAATTGGGGAGAAAGAAGTCAAACTTTCACTATCTGCAGATGACATGATACTCTATAAAAAAACCCTGAAAGACTCCATCAAAAAACTGCTAGATGGGCATTAAAGAGGGCACATGATATGATGAGCCCTGGGTACTATACTGAACTAATAAATCACTGAACACTATATCAAAAACTAATGCTGTACTATACCTTGGCTAACTGAACTTAGATTTAAAAAAGGAAAAAAAAAAACGCTAGAACTGATAAACAAATTCAGTAAGGTCACAGGACACAAAATCAACATACAGAAATCTGTTGTATTTCTATACACCAACAATGAAGCAGCAGAAAGAAACATTAAGGAATCAATCCCATTTACAAATGCACCAAAACCCATAAGATACCTAGGAATAAACCTAACCAAAGAGGTAAAAGACCTGTACTCTGAAAACTATAAAACACTAATGAAAGAAAATTAAGACGACACAAAGAAATGGAAAGACATTCCATGCTCATGGATTGGAAGAAAAAATATTGTTAAAACGTCTATACTACCCAAAGCAATCTACACATTTAATGCAATCCCTATCAAAATACCACCAGCATTTTTCACAGAGCTAGAACAATCCTAAAATTTACATGGAACCACAAAAGGCCCCAAATAGCCAGAGGAATGTTGAAAAAGAAAACCAAAGCTGGAAGCATCACAATTCCAGATTTCAAGTTATACCACAAAGCTGTAGTGACCAAAACAAGATAGTACTGGCACAAAAATATGACACATAAATCAATAGAACAGAATAGAAAACCTAGAAATGAACTGCAGCTATGTGGTCAATTAATACTCAACAAAGTAGGAAAGAATATCCAATGGGAAAAAGTCTCTTCAACAAATGGTGTTGGGAAAAGTGGACAGCAACATGCAAAAGAATGAAACTGGGACATTCTCTTACACCAAACATAAAAATAAATTCAAAATGGATTTAAGACCTAAATATGAGACCTGAAACCATAAAAATCCTAGAGGAGAACACAGGCAACAACCTCTTTGCCATGGGCCATAGCAACTTCTTTCTAGATAGGTCTCTTGAGGCAAGGGAAGCAAAAGCAAAAATAAACTATTGGGACTTTATCAAAATAAAAAGCACAGCAAAGGAAACAATCAACAAAACTAAAAGGCAATCTATGGAATGGGAGAGGATATTTGCAAATGACATTAACGATAAAAGATCAGTATCCAAAATATATAAAGAACTTATAAAACTCAACACCCCAAAAATAAATAATCCAATTAAAAGGGAGCCAAAGATATGAATAGACATTTTTCCAAAGAAGACCTACAGATGGCCAACAGACACATGAAAAGATGCTCAACATCACTCATCATCAGAGAAATACAAATCAAAACTACAATGAGATATCACCTCAAACCTGTCAGAATGTCTAAAAACAACACAAGAAACAAGTATTGGTGAGGATGAAGAGAAAGGGGAACCCCTTGCACTGTTGGTGGGAATGCAAATTGGTGCAGCCACTCCGGAAAACAGTACGGAGTTTTCTCAAAAAGTTAAAAATAGAGCTACCCTAAGATCCAGCAATTGCACTACTAGGTATTTACCCAAAGAACACAAAAATACTAATTCAAAGGGATACATGCACCCAATGTTTATAGCAGCATTATCTACAATAGCCAAATTATGGAATAGCCCACACGTCCTCTGGCTGATGAATGGATAAAGAAGATGTGGTATAGGGGCGCCTGGGTGGCTCAGTTAAGTGTCTGCCTTCAGCTCAGGTCATGATCTCAAGGTCCAGGGATCAAGCCCTGCTCTGGGCTCCCTGCTCAGTGGGGAGCTTCTCCCTCTGCCTCTCCCCCACCTGGGCTCATGCTTGCACTCTCTCTCTCTCTCTCTCAAATAAATAAATAAAATCTTTTAAAAATTTTGGGGGGAACATTAATCCCAGATATCAAGACTTAACATAAAACTATAGAAGCTCCAAGGATTTATTGTTGGCAAACAGATAAAATGACCAATGGAGCAAAACAAATGGAAACAAAGTAGACAAAATAGACATAATTCAGTGAATAAAGGATGGTGGATATCTATCCACAAAAACAAAAATACATCTCTATTTTAAACCATACACAATTCAATCTCAAGTGGATTAAAGATCTAAATGTGAAGGGCAAAATTTCACATACTTCTAGAATTTTAGAAGAACTTTTAAAATATAAGAAAATATCTTTCTGGTCTTGGGATAGTAAAGGATTTCTTAAAGAAGACCTAAAAACATAAACCATATGGGAAAAGACTGATGATAATTCTGAAAGCATCAGAATTTAAAACTTCTGTTTATATTGCAAGCACAGTGAAAAAACAAGCCACAAAGAGAGGATAACCATAGTATCTTTAAAAGGAATATTATCAAGAATATATAGGTAATTCCTATAAATCAATTTGAAAAAGATAAATAAACTAATAGAAAAATGGGCAAAATTTACAAAAATTCATTCAAGAGAATCAAGAGAAAATTTATAGAGGAGGAATTCTGAATGGCCAAAAAAGATGAAAGGATCCCCAATTTCATTTGTAATCAAGGAAACAGAAAACAGAACATATAGAAAAAAATGCAAAAGTCTGAACACATCAAGTATTGATTAGTACTTGAGAAAATAACAACTCCATGATATCTGGTGAAAGGGTAAAACTGTAGAGAGCATTTTGACAATACTTAGAAGAGTTAAAATTGCCCATATCTTGGATCCAGGTATTCCACTTCTGGGCATAAACCCAGAGAAATATATACCCAAGGAGAAATGTAAAAGATGCAGCATTTTATTACAGAAAATGTGAATATAATTAAATTTCCTTTAATATGGGAATGAATTTTAAAAATAAAATATACAATGACTACAGATGCAACTGTTTGGATATATACTGTATGAAAATAGATAAATTTCAAAATTATAATATGGAGCAAAAAGTCAAACTGCAAATGGATATCTAGAGTATCACTTAAAAACTTAAAGCACACAAAACATTATACATAATGTATGGGTGATAAATATGTAGAAAAAGTATAAATACATACAAAAGAGTTACAAAAGTGACATGAAAGTTATCCAGGCCAACCATTAGGGAGGGAGGTGGGGAAAGGATGAAGAGTTGTATCTGTAATATTTTGTTTCTTTACAAAGACAGTCTTGAAGCAATATGGAAAAATCCTTCAACTAGGGAGATGGGTATATGTGTGTTATTTGTATTACTTTTTTAAAGATTTTATTTATTCATTTGAGACACAGAGATACAGAGAGAGAGAGAGCATGAGCAGGGAGAGAGGCAGAGGGAGAGGGAGAAGCAGACTCCCCAGTGAGCAGGGAGCCTGATGTGGGGCTTGATCCCAGGACCCCGGGATCACGACCCAAGCTGAAGGCAGACGCTTAACCATCTGAGCCACCCAGGTGCCCCGAAAGTTATCCAGGCCAACCATTAGGGAGGGAGGTGGGGAAAGGATGAAGAGTTGTATCTGTAATATTTTGTTTCTTTACAAAGACAGTCTTGAAGCAATATGGAAAAATCCTTCAACTAGCTAGGGAGATGGGTATGTGTGTGTTATTTATATTACTTTATTTTTAACTTTTAGTATGTTTGAAATAATTCCTAATTTTTAAAAATGCTAGATTATTCTAGTTGTAGGGCAGTTAATAGATTAAAGCAGAACCAGAGTGGATATAGGACAACAGTTAGTCTACAATTCACAGTATATTTAAATAATTTAAATGTTTATTTATATATTTATGGAATGCCAAACAAAACTCTTTTAACAATGATGCAGGATGTCCTACAAGTATATTTTCCCAAACTTACCTGCTCGACCTCTCTGTTGAGAGAATCTACTTTTTCTTTTAATCTGTTACCCTCTGCCTCAGCAGTGATAAGTTCTAATTTGAGGGTATTGTTATCTGCCTCTGCTTGACGGGCCTTATTTTCCCAGTTTTCGGCATCTTCATTGGCTTTTCGGAGTTGATCCATCATTTGCCGGTTCTCAGATTCCTAAAAAGCAAATCTTAGGTATTACTTTAAAAGATGTAAAATGGTCAACATATGATGCAAATTAAACATTACTTGCCAGATCACTGGGAATTTATTTGCTACAGGATCATTTAGAACATAACCTCAAGGAATCCTATCCATATGCAATTTAGAATGTTGGGCATCCTGTAATTAACAAAAGGGAGTGGGACCAGGATCTGCCCTGGCTCGAGTCACACTTACCCATCTAGTAAAGTTAAGCTGTTTACTCTTATCTTTAGAACCTGGATGAATATGTTCTTATATTTGCTTTTGTTCAAACAAAATCCTTCATTGCCTCCTTTCCCTATATATCTGTTTACTTACTACTTATTGGTCTGGTTTTTGAGTCTCTGCCTTGGCCTAACCTTTTGTATCTGTGGATTCCCTTGTTCTTGACCACTTTTCTAGGTTGTACTGGCCACAGAACTTCTGACTGTTTACATATCTCAAGCATCAACTTCTGATAATTCTGTTGGTTTGGCACATTTCCTGTCTAGCTCCTGCCTTTCATTCATAACCCCAACCTTAATTTTCTCCATCATGGACTATTCTATGATTCACTTTTGTTCACTGTTCTAATAACTTGTCCAAAATTACTAAGAAGTAAAATACCAAACCTATGCCAATAAACACTGTTCATAAATATATAGTCATAATGGGCATTTGATATAGAACCACATTTTTAAAACCTTAAAAGGTCTATCATGACAGATTGACTAAAGTGGGATCTTATTTCTCTCCCGTTTTTTAAGATTTTATTTATTTGAGAGAGGTGTGTGTGTGTGTGAGGGGAGGGGCAGAGGGAGAGGGAGAGAGAGAGTCTCAAGCTTGACTCAGGGCTTGATCGCAGGACCCCGAGATCATGACCTGAGTGGAAACTAAGAGTTGGTCATCTAACTTACTGAGCCACTGTGGCACCCCCAGGGGATCTTATTTCTAAAGGAAAACAACCAACTCCACAAATGATATACTATATTGAGTAATCATTATGAGGCTATTTTTGAAAACATATTTTAGTAAAATGGTTTGGCCAATTCATTCTTAAAACATCATTATAATTTTGGTAATTAATTAAAAAGGTACTACATCTCTTTCTTTCTCTCCTACCTGTTAATAAACACTGAATATCTCTATCAGAACCATAAAATGATCAAATTGCAATAAGCAATGTCTCACCATTATAAGGCTTTCAAGTCAGATTTTCACCAATATGGTTAATCAGGAGCCTGGTTGAAATTCAGTTAATATCGCCACCTTGTGGTTTGGTTACCTATGACTAATGTAAAAGATTTTTGCCAAGTCTATAGTTAACAAGTTAACATACTATACTACCGCATTGGCTTTCAAGATTCAGATATTCTGAATGTGCCACTATAAATCTGATGTGTTTTCCATTATTGTACTAAAAGTAACAGTTGTGTACAAAGTGTGTACCTCAGAGGTACAGAGTACAGTATACATAACCATCAATCTTCACCCTCTTAACTTTCTGTACTACTCACTGTCTATGCCAGTCGCTTAACACTGCCTTACAGCTTTACGCTGTTAGGTATGGATGTCCAGTCTCCCCAATAATATTCTGAATTCCTCGAAGATAGAAGCTATTTTTTAAAAATTACATTTAGTTTTCTGACTAAAATATGAACCATTTTTTATATTAAATGTAGTTTGGGGACTCCCAGGTCATGTGGTTCAAAGTTTAAGGAGTAAAAATGATTGTTATTAAATGTCTCTTCTGGCCACCAAATACCTAGTGCACGTCCCTCTGGGCAACCGGAGACCATATTTTCCCCTTTTTGTATCCACTCAAAGCAGCCAGAGCATTGTGGGGCCCAAGACAAGCAACATTTTAAAGAAAGTGAAACTATTCCTTGGTATTCTCCAATTCCCTTTTTCAGGATCTGTTTACCTCTTTCTGGTGCTGCCCCCCCCTCTGTACCCCACAGCTCCCTCTGGTCTATGACTGGGCTCATTACAATACTCCCCCGCAGCAAAGCTGGGACTGCCTCAGCTGGAATCCTTTGTACTACCTGACTGAATTATGGATATAGCCTCTCCTAAATGATCTCCCTTTCTGATTTTGTTACCCTTCTGATTTATTCTTGCCAACATTACCAGAATGATCTTTCTAAAATGCAACTCTTCAAATAATTTCTGTGCTTATGTTGTAACAAAAGATTCCTGAAAACAGAATTCAAACAAGTCCTTCTCCCCCTGTATTATCACCCACCTACACACTCCTCTCTAGCTATAGAACCCACTTTTTTCCCCCCTTACACTTTGCTCATGTTGTCTCCACTGCCTGGGGTGCCATTCTGTTTCCTGTTTGTCATGTCTGGGACCTCAGCACCTAGCATACTACATACTGAATGAATGAGTGAATGAATCAAGTATTCAACAATTCTTAATGGACCTATGGTTTGTTCTCTCAAGGGACTGCCTGGATCCACCCAGTTTTGTGTGAAATGAAATCTCTTTTAAAAACCTCATACTAGCCTCAAGACATTAAAATAGAGCTACCCTAAGACCCAGGAATTGCACTAATAGGTATTTACCTCAAAGATACAGATGTAGTGAAAGGAAGGGGCACCTCTACCCCAATGTTCATAGCAGCAGTGTCCACAAAGGCCAAACTATGGAAGAAGCCGAGATGTCCTTCAACAGATGAATGGATAAAGAATATGTGGTTCATATAGACAATGGAATATTACTCAGCCATCAGAAAGGATGAATACCTACCATTTGCTTCGACATGGATGGAACTGGAGGGGATATGCTAAGTGAAATAAGTCAAGCAGAGAAAGACAATTATCATATGGTTTCGCTCATATGTGGAACATAAGGAATAGCACAGAGGACCATAGGGGAAGGGAGAGAAAACTGAATGGGAAGAAATCAGAGACGGAGATAAACCATGAAAGACTCTAGACTCTGGGAAACAAACTGAGGGTTGCAGAAAGGAGGGGGGTGGGGGGATGGGGTACCAGGGTGATGGATATTAAGGAAGGCTCATGTTGTGATGAGCACTGGGTGTTATACTCAACTAATGAATCGTTGAACACTACATCAAAAACTAATGATGTACTATATGCTGGCTAATTGAACATAATAATAAAAAAATGTATTAAAAAATGAATGATGTATATGTTGGCTAACTGAACATAATTAAAAAAAGTGCATTCTTTTCCTGAAAACAAAACAAAACCTCATACTAGGATGCTACCAGCTGAAAGCAGCCTGATGTGTGATGTCTGAAAATACAATTCCACAATCTAAAAGCCCCAGTCTCTAATGGTGGAATTTCAAGTAATGTGACAGGCTAGGGAGAAAAGGGGAAGTGTCTAACACTGACTAAAAGCTTAGTACATTAAATGTTCAGATATTCATTTATTTATATTCTACCTTCTTCCAGAATATACTTAAATGATTCACTATGCTAGGTCTATTTTACTTTCTTGGGCCTTCTTTTCAATTACAGATGGGCCACTGAGACTCAGAGAGGTTGACTGGCACACATAAGTCCATGTTATTAGTGAGAAGAGGGGTCAGCCCTATCTGATTTACAGTATTATGCTGCTGGCACCTTAAAATCAAGACTTGTAGGAAACCACCTGCTTTGCCAATGTAAGGCTGCTGCCTTACTGTCTTACTTGCAATATAGGAGTCCTCAGAATTTCTTCTCTCTCAAGGTCTTAAATAGTCTTATATACACCAAAAATGTTCAAGAAATTTTTGTAAACTGTTAATAAATGAGATGTTAAATAAAACAAGGAAAACAGTTTGGGGGGGGGTGGAAAGTTCCTATTAATGGTTTGAGTGGTATGTAGGGAACACTATACCTATTATAGTAATCAATCCAATTACAGTATTTTATTTTTTTATTGAAATTCAATTAGCCAACATATAGTACATCATTAGTTTCAGATGTAGAGTTCAGTTATTCATCAGTTGCATATAACACCCAGTGCTCATCACATCATGTGCCCTCCTTAATGCCTACCACGCAATTACCCCATCTCCCCACTCACCTCCCCTCCAGCAACCCTCAGTTTGTTTCCTATAGTTAAGAGTCTCTCATGGTTTTTTCTCCCTCTCTGATGACTTCCCATTCAGTTTTCCCTCCCTTCCCCTATGATCCTTTGTGCTGTTTCTTAAATTCCACATAGGATTGAAACCATATAATTGTCTTTCTCTGATTGACTTATTTTGCTCAGCATAATACCCTCCATTTCCATCCACATTGATGTAAATGGTAACTATTCATCCTTTCCATGTATTCCATATATACCAATATTCCATATATACCACATCTTCTTTATCCATTCATCTGTCAATGGACATCTTGGCTCCTTCCACAGTTTGGCTATTGTGGATACTGCTGCTATGAACACTGGGATGCAGGTGCCCCTTCAGATCACTACATTTGTATCTTTGGGGTAAATACCCAGTAGTGTAATTGCTGGTTCATGGGGTAGCTCTATTTTTTTTTTTT